CCCAGGTTAAGAACCCTTGCATGATACAGTTTCTATCCCAGCATTAATAAGGCCTAGAATTAGAACCATAGAAGCTAGAAAGTTAGGCCCTAGGAGATTATCTAGTTCAGGGGTGGGGAACCTGCAGCCTCGAGGCCACATGTGGCCTCGAGGCTGCAGGTTCCCCACCCCTGAATTCTAATCTAACTGCCTCATGGCACAGTTGTGGAAACTAAGGTCCAATGAAGAGAAGGGACTATTCCAAAGTCACCCAGAAAGTTAGTGGCAAAAAAGAACTAGAAATAAAGTAAATAATCAATAATTTGGAATGGCTAAATATATTGTGGCATATGAATGTAGTGGCATTTTATGGGATACAGGGGAAATTTAGGAAATGTAAGAAAAAATCAATATAAACATCTTTTTAAAAGGAAGTTAGTGGCATAGTTAAGACTAGCATTCCCCTAGACAAAATGTCAAGAGGTCTCATCTCTTGGCATATCCACCAACTGACCCAGACCCATCCATCACGGTTGCTCTCACCTTCTGTCCACGTCCACAGAGTCTTCCAAGACCAAGCTGACATGACCTCAACATCCCAGAACTTCTGTGTGTCTGTGCGACAAACCTGTGTGCCTTACCTAAATATGTGAAGGTATATGACCACACATCTGTGTTGAGTGTGTATTTCTCTGTGTTTGTGTCTTCTCTTTCTTCCCTTTCTTCCAACAACATCTTACAACCAACCCCTTGACTCACCCTAGTTCAGGCCTTCACCTCTTACCAAAACTACTGTAGAAGCCCTGAGTCAAATCTCTCCCTTGTCCAATCTGGCCTCCACCCAGCTGCCAAAGCAGTTGACCAAAAATGAAGATGATCGTGTCAACATCTTCTTTCAATAAACTCCAAAGGCTCCCTATTACGCTGAGGATCAAAGACAAACTTCAGTTTGACACCTAGATCCCTTCACAACCTGGCCCCAACCTACCTTTCTAGACTCATTAAACATTATCCCCCTTCTTGTACCTACTGTTTCTCATATACTACATTCCATCTCAGTATCTGTTCCTTTGCATGGGCTAGCTCCATTCCTGGAACCTGTCCCTCCCATATCTTTGCTACTTAGAATTCCTAATTTCCTTCAAAATCCGGCTCAGGGGCCACCTTCTACATGAAATCTTTCCTGATCCCCTTAGCTGCTAGTGCCTTCCTTCTAAAAATGGCCTGAGCTTATATCTTCTTCATATGTACATATATTCATACATACATACATATATATATATGCACCCTCAAAAATTACCTTTACCTTGTCTATCTCTTTTGTATGTGTATACATTCATACATATATCTAGATATACTCTCCAAAATTACCTTGCATTTTGTATTTCTTTTGTATATAAATATATCACACATGCATATGTATGCGTACCTGTGTGTCATTCACATACACACAACATGTACATACGTGCCTGTACATATATGTGCAGCCACATCAATCATAACTGCAACCATGTGTGCCTACATATAAATATATAAATATGTATGTGTATGTGTATGTATATGTGTATGTGTATGTGTATATGTATATGTATATGTATATGTATATGTATATATGTATATGTATATGTATATGTATATGTATATGTATATGTATATGTATATGTATATACATGCACTTTGTCTCCCCTGGTAGCATATAAACTCCTTGAGGGCAAGAATTATTTTATTCTTCTTTGTACTCTCAGTGCTTTGTACAGTGCCTGACACATAGCAGGCGTTTAATAAGTGCTTTTTGATGGATTATGCACACGTTCTATGAGTATATAGGTAAGGGCTGTATTCTATTGTCTGTGAGCATGCGTGCATATGTGTGCATCTTTGGGTATGATATATATTTAAATATATGTGCCTAAGTATGTGTTAGGTAAGGGGTAGCAGGGAGGATGACAGTGGCACTGTCCTAAGACTAAGTAACCTCATTAGGTAATGAAATTCACTTGGGAAATGGAAAAGAAAGGAAGATCTGAGGCTGGAGCTGCATATATATTTCCCTTCCTCCCTCCTTCCTTCTTCCTTCTCTCTTCAGCTCTGTTTGGAGAAGCTGAGGACTAAGCTCCTCAGAGCAAAAGGGAGAAGTAAAGGGGGGAAGTGGGGCTGAACCCCTCCCCCCAAGTCTTAGGCCTTGGAAAGCCACGCCTCTTCTCCTCCTCTCCCCCTTTTCCCACCCCCCAGCTGCCTGAATCACTAGAATGAGACTTCCCAGTGGGGAGCTCCCTGCCTGGCTCTCTAGGCCCTCTAAACTGTGACCAGCTGGTCATTTCACGACATCCCTTCTTCTAAAGATCCTGTTCTCCTACAATAAGCCTAAGCATTCCCAAGCCCTCTAAAATTCAGCATTATCACCTTCCTACATTCTCAGGACCCCATCTTGGAAGTTCAGATTCCGGGAAAACCAATCTAGCCCCTGGGCTCTAGATCCCCAGATTGCTGTTCTGGTTTTGCCTTGGTGTGGTATACCAATGCTCAACAGGGGAGGAGAGGAGGAAGAAAGGACTAGGGAAGAAGGAATGAGCAAAGAGAGAGGGAAGAATGAGAAGAGAGGAAGGAGGGAGAGAAAAGTGCCCTGTAAACTTCTGTTCTCATGAAGATAAAGGCGTCAACACTGCTCTATTTTGGGAGGCAGGATGTAGTGATGGGGGTATCAGTTGAAGTATTCAGTAAATATTTTGGGACGACTGTAGTTGAAAGAGCACACAGGACTAAGCATCAGAAGGCCTGCCACTCACTTATTATATGGCCTCAGGAAAGTCACTTGACAGTTCTGGGCCTTAGCTTCTCCATCTGTAAAATGAGAGGCTTGGACTACAGTGATCCTTATGGTCCCTTTCAGCTCTGATAATTTTATGAATCTATGAAAAAAGTGTAATGTATGTAGCAGGTTTTTGTTTCGTTCTCTACCTTCTTTCCACAGAAGAAGGAAATTGTGCTAGCATTTGAGTGTTAGATTGTGGATGGAAGACCCAAACCCCACCAGCAAAATAAAGCATCTGAAATGGCTGAAAGTGAGCCAGGGATTGAGTCTAGTCCCAAGTGCTCAGGTAGGCTGATGCCAAATCAGTACTGGGTATTCTGGGACAGCAGATACCATTCCCTCTGGCCTGGGGGGGCAGGGGAAGAGCTCCAGGCCTAGAAAGAAGCATGCGGCCAAGCATGGTTAAGGAGGATAAAGGGGGGGATGCTTCACCCAGCCGGCTCTGAGTGATTTTCTTTGATAACACTCTCTTGTTCTGTGTTTGTGTGCGTGCAACCTTGCCCTTGATAGCTCCGTTACAAGTCTTCTTCCTTGTGACAAACACCCAGAAAAGAAGGGAAAAAAGGGCCAGGTGACAGAAGTGGGGACCACGAAGTGGAGGGACAGAGCCAGAGGGCTGAACAAGCTCAAGTTTCTGACAAAGTTTCTGATTGAGTAGGAAGGAGAATCAGAGAGAAGAGTAAACATCTCTAGGTAAGACTTGGGAAGGGATCGAGGCCCCAGAAAGTTGACACAACCAGCAAAGTCCCTACTCTAAGCTGCCCTTCACACAGGGCATCCCACCCTCATATGCTAAAGATACATTAAAACCCTTGGTAACTAGCACATAAACGTATCCCCAAATCTGTTGAGATGATGTCAGGATAAGGAGAGACAGAGCAAGACAGAACTAGTCAGGGAAGACTTCCTGGAAGAAAAAGAACTGGAGCAGTCCCAGGGAAAATTGCAGAGTAGCAAGGGCAGGAATCCTGCTTTCCTCTTCCCTCTCTTTCTGCCCTTCTAGGATCCCCTTCTCTTGAAATCTGCCATAGATTAGACAGAGGCCATAGCTTAACGGAACGTGTCTTCCCCTAAGGGATTAGCAAAGGTTCCTGCAAATAGTAGGTACTTAATAAATGTTTGTTAAATGAATGAATGAAAGTTTCTTTCTGACAAATTCATCCACTCTGAGCTATTAGTGATTTGATATGCTACTCTTCTGAGGATTAAACTAAATTGGCATTTTTCAAAAGCATCCTGGAAAAGGCAATGCTTAGCCCACAGGAATGAATTGGTAATGGCAGAATTTATAGCAATGGTGATAGGCCAGTGGAGGAAAGATGTGAGGTTGAGACCCTTCCCATGGTCTTTTCAAATTCCATTCCATCCCAGTGGTCCCCGCCTATTTACTTCTACTGACTTCTTGTCTGCTGTGGGTTAGCCTAGGGGGTAGGAAATACAACAGAGAGGCACAAAACCAGCTAAGGAGGCATTCGGAGAGTCAGCAGACTGGGGCTGGAGTGCTTCCTTTGGCATTAAGTCACTCTATGGCCTCCAGCAAGCTATTTCCCTTCCCTGGGCTTCAATTTCCTTTTATGTTCAGTGAGAAGTGTGGTCTCTACTTTCTCTTCTAGATGTAAGTGTCTGATCCTAGGATGATAAGGTTCTAACACTCTAAGAGTCTAGCATCCCTCATAGTACAGCCGGATTCACCCCTCCCTCCCCAGCAAAGGGAACCTGCCTAAGGTTCATTTGCCTACATGGTTGGAGAAGCAGAGGCAGGGGGCCACAGACCAGCCTGCACACAGACTGAAGGGTAATATGTTACCTCGACAACTCCCTCCTCCTTTTCCTTTTATCCTACAATCTTCCATCCTTCTCCTCTCTGGCCTACATCCTCCTCTAAACCAGTACTTGGAAGTCCTGAGGAGCAGGACACCCAGACAGAACCCAGCAAAGGAGCCACATATCAAACATAAATTGCCTGAAAGTGACATTAGGAGGACATCAGCATCTTCAGCCCAGGCAGCCAACCCCAAACCCATCCCAGCATCCCAACCTTGGCCAGCATCCTAAGGCCCAACACTCTAAACCAATAATGTGGAGGCAGGTAACACGGCCTGCTTCCCCAGAGGACTGGTCTTTGACATTAAAGGGGCAGCAAAAAAAAAAAAAACAATGAGAAAGCAAAATTGCTAAGGGACTGAGGAAGTCCCTGGATCATCACTACCTGTCGTTCCGGACTAGGGTCTCACTCTTTGTCCAAGGTCCTTATATAGCAAGTGATTCTGAGGAATAAGAAAGATACAGTCAGGGCTGGCACTAGGGAAGACCAAAGGACACCCATCCCCACCAGACCTGCAGGGTCAAGACAGAGAGAAGGTGAGTAAGATAACCACTTCAAAAATACCTTTCAAATCTACAAGTAGAGGGGTAGAAAGAAGATCAGACCAGGAGGTGGGAGATCTGGGTTTTTTCTAGTCTTTGTTCTGTGACTGATTTGCTGTGTGGCCTTAAGTAAGTCACTTACCCGTACTGTCGCATTTTACACATCTATAAAATGAAGGAGGTCAAATTAGATTAAATTATCCTTTTTTCCATCATGAACCCCTCTTACCTTCTAATGAAGCCTAAGGGCCCCTTCTCAGAATATTTTTAAATGCATAAATTAAAATACATAGGATTAAAAGAAACCAATTCTATTGATGTAGTCTATCTGTCTGTCTATCTATCAAAAAAAACAAGTTCACAGACCCCAAGTTAAGAACCCCTGGATTAGATGGTTTTTAAGGTCTCTTTTGATTCTATGGTGCCAAATCTTTAACGAACACACAACTAGGACCCCAGCCCTCTTACTGGGCACTAAGGGAGAGATAAAGATATATAAACCAGGATCCCTTCTCTCTAGGGGCTCCAGACAGGCCAGGGAAAGAACACAGGGCAGGTGAATGCTGAGCACTGAATAAACCACTTCCCAACTTACAACCTGATCCTCACAGCCATCCCTCAAGCCACAGACACTTGCTTACCTATCTCCTTTGCCCTAGTCCAAAAGGTCACAGACCCAAACCCAAGGGCACAGCTGTATTCACTGGCTTAATATTTCTCCTTTTTTTAACTTTGAATTATTTTAACTTTTAATTTAAATTCTAATTATCTCTTCCTGTTAAATGGTGTCAATCCCCTGCAGCCATAGCCCAGAATCAACCCAGAATAGGCTATTCTCCATTATCCAGGGCTTGCTACCCCAATGAGTAGATTACCTAGATGTCTAGTTTCCCTTCCTGGGGTTAACTTCCCTCTGTAATTCTCTTACAAAGCCAGGCAAAGAGCTTCTGGGAGCATAGATTTAGAGCGAGAAAGGGTCTATAGTCCAATTCCCTAAATCTGAGGGTCAGATAGGCGAGATAACTTGTTCCAGGACATCCAGGTAGTAAAAGGGAGAGCTGGAATTTGAACCAAAATCCTGGGACTCCAAAGCCAGCGCCCTTTCCACCATGCTGGCTCCTGGGACCCTAAATCTAGTGCCCTTTCTACCATACCACACCTGCTCCAGTCTACATTAGCACTTGGGAACTGTGGACTAGAGTGAGAGAGGCAAGAAGGAAGAAGGGCAGGGATCTCAGACAAGAATCAAGCCTAGAACCAGTCTTGGTATCATCTAGAGATTTTATTTTATGAATCTGGTTTTCCCTGTACCTATCTAATTATAGTCTTTTACATGTCTCGTCTTTGTCTGCTTACCCATTCACATCACAGCCATCCTAGGTCAGGTCCTCATCACTTCTTGCCTGGACTATCTCAAGAGCCTATTAATTGGTGCCCCAGTCTCCAGTCTCCCCACCCCTCGCCCCCCATCTCTATTCCCTCCTCCACACAGCTATCCAATTGGAATTCCTAAAGCTCAGACTGGACTGTGTGACCTTCCTGCTCCAGAAGCTACATTGGTTTCCCATTGCCCAAAGGATGAAATCCAAATTCCTCTCTTTGTGTTTTTTGGTTTTTCAGGCAATTGGGGTTAAGTGACTTGATCAGGGTCACACAGCTAATAAATGTCAAATGTTTGATCTGAGGCCAGATTTGAACTCAGGTTCTCCTGACTTCAGGGCCAGTACTCTATCCACTGTGCCACCTAGCTGCCCCAAATTCTCTCTTTGGCTTTTCAAGCCCATCCCAATCTTGCTCCAACCGACCTTTCCAGGCCGATTTCGCCCTGCTCCTCCCAAAGGCTTCTTTCCAGCCAAACTAGCCTTCTGGTTGTTCTTCCTCAATCAACACTCCATCTTCCACCTCAATGTCTTTGAATGGGCTGTCCCCCAAGCCTTGAATGTACTGACCCCTCATCCTTGGACTCGCTAGTTCCCTTCAAGGTCAAGCTCAATGCTGCCTTCCACGAGAGGCCTCTCCCGATCCCTCCAGTCAGCTGAGCTCTTCCCAGCCCCCAGAAAATGACTGTATTTATTTATCTATGTACAAGTTTCCTCTCTGTAAAGTCTAAGTTCTCCAAGGGCAAAGACTGTTTTGTTTTTCACTGCTGACTATCCCCAGAGCCATGCGTATAGTACCTGGAAAGTTGTGGGTTTTCAGTCCAGACCTGCAATTTCATAGGCAGGATGAAATGCTTTTTTATCAGTGCAGATCTTGGTCAATAAAATTAAGCACCTGCTATGTGCCAGGCACTGTGCTAAGTGCTGGGCATATAAAGAAAGGCAAAAGACAGCCTCAACCCTCAAAGGGATAACTAGGTGGCACAGTGGATAGAGCACAGCGCCTGGGGTCAGGAGGACTGAGCTCAAATCAGCCTCAGACATTCCGGGCTAGTCACTTAAACCTGTTAGCCTCAGTTCGCTCATTTGTAAAACGAGCTGGAGAAGGAAATGGAAAACACTCCAGTATTTTTGCCGAGAAAACCCCAAATGAGGTCACAAAGAATTAGACACAGTGGCCAACAGCAACAACCCTGAGAAAGCTCATAATCTAATAAGAGAGACAGCATGCAAGCAAATATATAGAAACAAGCTATGTATAGCAGAAATCGGAAATAATCAACAGAGGGGAGGTGCTGAAATTAAGAGGGAGTGGGAAAGATTTCCAGTAAAAGGTGGGATCATAGCTGGGCCTTGAAGGATTCACAGAGACAGGAGAGAGACACAGACAGAGGAAACTCAGTCACACTGGACACAAGGAATTGAGGCACAAAGAGGTGGAACATGGAACAGAAACAGACATGTAGCACAGAGTGACAGGGAGATGAGATAGGGCAAGATGTGAACTGGCTGTTCCTGAGTATGAGGCCAGCTCTCCCCTACACCATGTTTAATGCTCATTGAACTGTGTGATCATGATACTGAGAGGCTAACCCCAAGCTTTTCCGATACTGGTAAGAGGCCATAGCCAGAGTACTCAAATCTCCACCCAAGAAGCCACTTTCTCCAACCATTGTGAACACAGAGGAATGCATCGGAACACACACACACACACACACACACACACTCAATCCCAGAATAAAGCATGGAGTCACACTCTCATAGACAGTAAGTCTCATACACTAATACAGCAGGTATTTGCACAGTCATGCACACTCACACACACAACCAGACATACCCACACAGTAACAGTCACTCAATCACGCACAGTCACATTCATATTCACTGCCTCCCACACATTCAGTTGCATATTCGCCCTCTGCTGGCCTGTCAGTAGGCACTCTGGTTCAAACTATGTCTACCACAAGGAAGCCCAAATGACCTGGGTCTCCACCCCTCAGTGACCTGGTCACGGGTGGCTACAGCATGTCTGGGGATATGTTGGGAAAAAAAGGAAACCATACACACCCCCCCCACACACACACACACAGAGTCAGGTGGATACACGTATAAATTCACCATGTAGTGTCTGCATGGATAAATTGCCCTGATACCTAAATTCCCAGCAAGATTCAGAGACAAGACACAGACACAGACATAGGCAGAGGAAACTGAGAGTCACACTGGACACAGGGAATTGGGGCACAAAGAGATGGGGCATGGAATAGGCACAGAGACATGTAGGACAGAGTGACAGTAGTCACACAGGAACAGAAGGAACACGGACACAGAAAAATGTAGACTCTATCTAGAGCTAGATGGAGACATATAAAGAAATTATACAGGGAGAAACCCCAAGAAAATTCACCTTGATGGTGGTGAGAAATTCCCTACCCATAAATCTTTCCCATTGCTGCCAGTCACGGCAGGAAGCCAGAGGAGGGAGAGGGGTGTAGAGGGGAAGAGAAAAGATGGTCAGATAAGAACTGACCCTTTTTCTCCACTCCCCACCCAAACTTAGAAATGCAAGGGGTCATGCACGATGATGACTTCCATGTGTGGGAGTAGATGGGTTCATTTTGTATGCCCTTCCCCCCCAACACATAGAGACAGAAAACTCATCAAACCAAGAAGTGTCCAGACTTCCCTTCCAGAGGTCCCCTCTCATCTGGTCCAGGATGAGCCCCAGATCTACTAGTTCAGCTGAAATAGGGGGTACAGTTATTCAGGAAAGGTGGCAATAGGATGATGAGTCTAGGGCACAGAAAGGAGGAAAAAATGGATGAAGGAAGAAAGAGACCTCAGGGGCAAGAGGATAAGAGAGGTACAAAGCAGGTAGTCACTTTGCCAAATTAAGGCTCTCTTCCTCCTTTGTCTTGATGGGGAAAAGTCAGAAATAGGATAAGAAGGACATTATATAGCTGGAAGGAGGGCAGAAGGAGAGTTACTAGGATGGAGGGGACATTGCAGGAAGGGTGGGAACACAAAAGAGGGGGCAGAGAAAGGAAGAGAAGCCCAAGCGGATAAGGGGGACAGAATGGTGGGTGGGACAAGGCAAGACCAAGCAACAAATGAACCAATATGGCAGGAAAAAACATGAATGGTTGACAATGAGAAGGCAATGGACATAAGTGAGGGGGTCAATGGATATGGGGGATGACAAATGGAAGGCAATGAATGTGGGATGATGAATAGAGGTAAGCGGAAAGAGGATTACAGACTAGATGACAATGAATGAGGGACATCAAAATATTGGGATGACAGAATAGGGGAACGTTGGGTGGGAGACAACAGAGGAGATAATGAATAGGGATGATGCTTTTTGGGGACAATGATGGGGGAGATGATGAGGTTGGGGTGAAATGAATGAAGGGATTATGGATGAGAAGACATGCATGCATGGAAGATGATAAATGGGGAGGGGGGTGGAAAATGCCCGATAAAGCAGTTATCAAGCTCCTAGAGAGAGAGAGAGAGAAATCTTCCTCAGTCAAGAGAAGAGTGACAGAGACACAAGGAGACTCCCGACAAATGAGAAAGCCTGAAGAATGGTCACTGGGAAGGCAAAGCAGCTGAAGGGGCCATCTGCCATAGTTTTCACTTAGTTCAGTTTCAGAAGGGGACCCGAAACTCCCAAAGTCCAGAGCCAGGAGACTGGTAGCCCTGACTGCCCAGGTTCCTCTCCCAATCCCCAATCCCGAGGGGTGAGGGGTTCTTGGCCCCTCTCTCGGTTCCCTCCTACCTCCTCACCTTCCGGTAGCCAAGAAAAGGGGGTTGCCTCTCCTGAGCGCGCGGTCTCTCCAGGTCCGGTAGCCTTCCTCGCCTTCGAGGGGTCTATCCCGGTCAACACGGGCCGAAGCCGTCTAGGACAGCTCTCTGCTCTGGGGCGGGCGGGCGGGGGCGTCTCAGGTGTGTGTGTGTGGTTCTCTGCTGTTGATTCTCACGGCCCCCTCACGATCTGGGACTGGGCGGGAGAGGATGGAGGAGGGGAGGGGGTGGAGAGTCTCTCCTCTTAGTTCCGGGGGTGGAGAGAAGGTGGCGGGGGTGGGGAGTGGGGGGGGAAATCTGTCTCTTAATTCCAGGGGAGTCTTGCAGCCTCCAGGCTCTCGGCGCTCCGGAGGGGCGGGGATCAGGCCCCTCCGGGGGGGGGGGATCAAGAGGGAGAAGTCTCTGACTCTTGGCTTTCGGGAGTGTCGAGGCCCCTAGGGTGCGTCTCGGCGCTCCAGGAGGGGGGCGGGAATCTCTGTCCTCTGTAACTTGGCGCTCAGGAGGTCAGGGGCAGTCTCAGTCCTAGAGCTTGCTCCGCCTGTGAGTGTAGAGATCGCTGAGTTTCTGGGGCATCTTTGCCTCGGGAGTGGGGAGATCGCTAGGTCCCCAGAGTGACTTCGCCCTGGGGGCGGAAGGATCGTCCAGTCGTCTGGGGTCTCTCCGCCCTGGGAATTGGGAAGGGGAGCGAGAACCTCTAGGTCCTTTGGGTCTCTCCGCCCCCGGAGTGGGGGGAATCACTCAGTCCAAGGAGTCTCTTCCCTCGGAGAGTGCGTCGGTTCTGCTGGACGTAGGGGTGGCAGGCTATCTTGGCCCAGGCGTCTCTCGGCTCCGGGGAGGGGGAGAGGGGCGGGGGAGTGGATCTCTCGGGTAGGGAAGGGGTATCTCTTCGGTTCTGTAAGGAGGATCTCACAGCCCCAGGATCCCTCTGCTCTGGGGCCGGAGGAGCTCCCTCTCTTGCTCTGTTTCGGGGCCCGTACACCGCCGCTCCGGTTGCCTCTGGCTCCGGGTACCGTCACACAAGGAAGTGTGGAGTGGGGGGCGGGGCGGCCGAGACCTCACCCAGGTGCTGGGAACCCCGGCGACCCGCCCAGTTCCGCCCAGAGCCTCCAAGGGCCGCCTCCGAGGCCGGCCTGGAGCGCGCTGCTCACCGCGCCCCTCCCCCCCTTCTCCCGTTCCTCAGCCGAGGTCTCCCTCCTTCCCTCTCTCCCTCCTGGCCCCTCCTTTCCCTCAGCCCCCCAAACTGCAACTCTGCTGCCGCCCCGCCCCTGTAGGCTGTGTTTCGTACTTTCTGTCTCTTGCAGAAGGGGTGTGTATGTGTGTGTGTGTAAGGGTAGAGAGTATGTAGCTTCTTCGCGAATAAGGATGAGTCTCCTGTCTCAGCCTCTTAAGAAGTCTTCTGACTTTAACTCTTTTCTCTGTATATGTCAGCCTCGGAGTCTAGTCTCTATGTGTCTCTGTTAATCTATCCTTACCCATTCCCCTCCACGTTTTTGTTTCTGTCACTGTCTTTCTAGCTGTGTTTATGTTCCCCCATATATGCTTTTCTTTTCCCTTCTTTTTCCTATGGCTGTCTCTGTCCTGTCTTCAAATCACAGCATCATACAGCTGCGGGGGACTTAGTGATCTTTCTCCCCATGTCTATGTTTTCCTTTGAATATGTTTGTCTACGTGCCATCTCTCTTCCGTCAGCCTCTTCTCCCCTCATCCTTCCTCCCCCCCCCCCCCGCCCCACACTCCGTCCTCAATCTCTCTGTGACTCTCTTACTAATCATTCTCCACCTCACCAACAGTACAGAGATTTGGAACTGAAGAGTGAACCAGTGAGGAAGGGATGTTTCTTGGGCCACAGCCTACCTTCACTCCCACTAACGAAAGACTCTCTCTCTCTCTCTCTCTCTCTCTCTCTCTCTCTCTCTCTCTCTCTCTCTCTCTCTCTCTCTCTCCATCCCATCTCTGTCCCCATCTCCATCCCCATTCCCTGCCCCCAGACACTCGCTTGGTGGGGGACAATCTATTCCCATCCACTTGAGGACTGGAGAAAGGGGTCTTATCTCAATTTTGAAAATATGGGGAGAGAATGAAGAGGGATCAAAGTTTTCCACTCATTGCTCCTCTCTCCTCCTGGCTGCCAAAAGATTCCTGAATCCAGCACCTAAGTATCAGAAATAAATACTCCAGCCTTCCTGGCATGGTGGTTCCTCCCCCCCACCCCACAATCCCTAAACCGATCAATAGAATTCAAACTTAATTACAGTGATTCTGGGAGGAGAAGTGGAGACAAGAATGGTGAAGATTTTATCTCAATTTTGTGCTAGGAGGGATTTTTGTCCATACTTCAAATCCCACCTCCTCCATGAATCCTCCCTGATTAATCCAGTTCACTGTGAGCTGAGAATTACAAAATCATGGAATGTAAGAACTGAAAGGAACCTTGGAGAGCAGTCCAGTTATTTTTCAAATGGGAATACTGAGGCTCAGAGAGAGGAAGTGACATGACCAAGGACTCTTCTCCCTGAGCTTTCACAACACTTCTGTATTTTATTTGCTTGCATCTCCCTGAGTGCTTACGCTGAGTAAATATTCAGTAAATATGTTTATGTTCAATAGATTGATTGAACTGAAGCTAAAAGAAGGCAAAATACTGGACCAGCTTGAGGCCCCAGCTTAGGGACATAGCAAGAAGGTTAAGGCAGGCCCAGGTGTTATCCCAATTGTTTTGGGGAATTAGGGGTGGGGTGGGAGCCTGAGGTGGGTATGGGGAACAGGACTCAAATTTTACTTGTACTCATAAACCTCTTGGGCCAATCTGCCTCACAGGACTCAAACTTTATATGTAGTCATAAACCTGTAGGGCCAATCTGCCTCAGACAGGGAAGGTCAGAAATCCAGAGATGGAAGGGAATACCTACTCTGATTCAATTAGATCAACCCTGAGTAGATTAGGCTGTGCAGGGGCTCAGGTCCTTTGGGAAAAGGACCTCAAAGCAGGGTTTTCCCTGTCTCTGCTACCCTGTTCCCTTTACCCAACTTGCAATTGAAGGAGAAAAACATGGCTGGAAAACTTTGAGGGTAATAGTGCCTATCCCAGGGTAAATATGACTCCTCTTGGAAAAGGTCTGGAATCTGACCTTTCCTGGGGATTGGGCTAGCCTGGAACCTCGAGGTCCCACCCTATTTGTTTCTCCTTCTTCTTTCTTTTTCATTTTCACTTTTCCTTTTGATCTCTCCTGTTGGAATGCACTCTGGCTTCCTCACTTCCTCTCAGCTCTCTCCTAGCAACTGCAGCTTTACATCTCAGCAAGAGTTTACAGGGAATGGGGGACCTTCCCACTTCATTCATACCCCCACTCTACCTTGAACGTTGCTGCTCCATGTGCAAGGATAACAGCTCTGACCTGGACTGTGTGTGCAATTTTGTAAGTAACCAATCTGGGGGCTGGGGTTTCTTTGCAACTTTTTCTTGGTCAGTAGCATGTGTGGGATGTAGATCCCATAGGCTACTTCCAATGAGATAATCCATTAAGAAATGGGGTGACTTTATATTTCAGCCTCTTTTGTCCATGGAGACTTTTAATGGGAATCACTGACTTACTTTTCTCCAAGGATCTCTATCCCTGGTAGAGATCAAGAAGATTCCTGAGAGGACTCTCTCGAGAGGCATACTCTTGTTTGGAGGCAGAGGACTGGACAGGATGACCTTTGTAGTCATTTGACAGCACTGGTCTTATAGTCAGATCACAGGGTTTAAATACTTGCTCTGACATTAGATGTGTGAGTCTGGGCAAGTTATTTAAATGCCTTTGCGTCTCAGTTTTCTCATCTGTAAAATAATAAAATAATTAAAAATAATATTAAATAAATAAATAAAAATGATAATAATATTTGCCTTACAAATTTTCTAGAATTGTTGTGAGGAAAGCCCTCTAGAAATGGGAGCTATTTATTTAAATCACTGTCATTGTCATCATCAACATTCTCAATTCCCAACATTCCCAGAATAGGCTGGAAGAAGCACCCTGAAGAGGAAAGGGTTTCAGATTTAGAGTTAGGAGTCCTCCTAGCTCTGCTACTTACAACCTATGCAATGATAGGCAAATCATGGATCCTCAGTTTCCTCATCTATAAAATGAGGATAGTAGTATTTACCTTCAGAGAGTAATGTGAGGATCAGATGAGATCACAGGATCATAGATTTAGATGTGGAAGTGTTCTTAGAGTCCAACCCCATCATTTTCCAGATGTGGAAACTGAAGCTCAAAGAGTTTCAGTGACTGGCCCAAAATCACAGAGGCAGTACAGTAAGTAGCAGATCTGGGATTCAAACCCAGGTCCTTTGACTCCAACCATTCTCCGTCCACCAATCCCAGTGTACCACCACCACCAAAGTCTTGGACTAAGACAGGGTCAAGGTATGAAACAAAGGAAATGGGATTTAGAAGAAGGGAGTAGCCTCAGGCTGATGGGGCAGGTAGAGCAACTCCTATTACCAGTCCAACAAGGATCAGCATCGTCCTTCAACTCTACAGCTCTTCCTCCATGCCCCTGTGCTGAGTTGAACATATATGGGAAAGTCCCCATGCAATTCAACTTTCCACTTCAGAGCCAGAGCCAAGTGAATCCTGGGATAGTCCTCCTAAGTCAGCCTTGATTGGCTCTAAGATGGAGCTGGTAGGGCCAATCATTCCTCATGATCAGTTATTTTTGGCTCTAAGATGGAGCTGGTAGGGCCAATCATTCCTCATGATCAGTTATTTCTCAGTCTCTTTCTGCTCCTTTTCTTTGTCTCTATTCCTGTCTCTTACTTTTTCCATTCCTGTCACTATGTCCAACTGTCTGTTTTTCACTGTGTCTGTCTTTCTATCCCTGTCCCTATCCCTGTCCCAGTTGCACTTGGGGAAGAGTGATGCGATGGCTAATGTATCAGGGTTGGGACGTTCCCAGAGCCTGTGGCAAGATGATGGCATTTGGGCTGGGGGAATCAGATAGTGAGAGGGCCATGATGAAGACAGTCTGTCAGCTCTGAGGAAAGACCTCTCTGAAGAAAAGGGCTAACCAGAGTGAGATCCAGATGGAATCCACAATGAAAGAAGAAAGTCTCTGCTGAATCAGACACTAGGAGGAGAAGCACATACTTTCTGTAACTTGAAGTGATGTCTCATACTTGACCCTAAGCCAACTTGATAGTGATTGCCCCTGACATAATACTGAGAGTAGAGATAGGGGGGAGTTGGGAGGAGCCAGGGGAAAGGCCTTGGCTGATGGATAAATAAAATAAAAACAAGCTACCCAAGATCACAGCACTCAAAGATACCCCAAAAGAGGCATCTGGAAACAGGAGGAGGTCAGAGTCTGCAGATATTGATTTTAATATTGTCTCTGCCACATTGTGTGACCAGGGAAAGGTTT